ATCATCATCATCATCATCATCATCATCTTCTTCATCTTCTTCATCTAAAGAAGTATTAGATGTTGTTGAAGGAGGAGTTATTATTTCTCTTGTTCCATTGATTTTTTGTTTGTTGACTTCTTCTTTTTCATCTTCTTCTTTAATAACAAGATTTTGTACTGGTGTAATTAAATTGTCATTTTGAATAATTGTCTTTTCATCTTTGTTACTCATGTTGGTGATAGGTGAAAATGCACTACTGATATGAAGGGTTTCAACAATTGGAGAATCATATTGAGTGGTGGATAATATCGGGTTAAGATTTGTTTTTATAGTAGGAACATTTTTTGGATCTGATGAAGAATTATCATTAATGTTGTCAACGGCAAAATCTATATCTTTATGACTATCGGTGAAATGAAAAGTTCTACGTCTTTTTTCCATTTCTTTTTTATCATCATCTGATTTAATAAGGTCAGCCAAATTTATACTAAGTCTATTACGAGCTTTTGTTTTTGATTTTAAATTATCATCATCTGATACTGGATAAGTATTTACTCTTTGTTGATCATCATTACCACGTGTTTTTCCGTATTTTGTTCGAGGGCTTGGAGGCACAAAGTCTTGTTTCTTGTTGTTAGATTTATCAGTTTTTTCTTTGCCAAATAAACTTTTTACAAAAATTTCGCCTTCTTTTTTAATACGTTTAAAACTATTACGTTTTGCGCGTTTTTCATTTTTTTTCTGTTTATCTTCAGGTGTATTTTTAACGGTGGTGGTGTTTGTTGTGGCCATGGAATTGTCGTTAATAACCTTTTTGTCTTCGAAGGATACGGAAGAAGAAGAAGAAGGAGAAGAAGGGGGATATTCGTTTTCTTTTGTTTCTGAAGAAGTTGATGAAATCGATTTATTTTCTATATCATTAGAAATATTAATAGTTGGAATTTCTTGCTTAATACTAGTCATTTTTTTAATTATAATAAATATATATAAAATATATGTAATTTATGAATTTTAGAAAAAAAAATAAAAAAAAATAAAAAATAAAAAATAAAAAATATAAAAATTTTTTTGCTTGACCTTTTTTTCTTTTTTTATTATTGTAATTCGTATTTGTGATGCGCGAGTGTAATGTTTAACCAAAATTCTCTTTCAATAAGCACACATGACAATTTAAATTATTAAAAAAGATTTCCCATTTAATATTAAATTTTATTTTGTATCTATCAAATAAACAATAAAATTTGTAATACTTAAAATAATAACTAATTACAGTTAGTTATAAAATAGCGATTAATTTTATGACATATAAACCACCAAAAAAAGGATCGGTTGTATTTTAGATAACGCCCAAAAAAGCCTTCAAGTATGTTAAAGTACTTGAGCTATCGAATTTTTGGATAACAAATATTTTTACTCAGTAGGTGAATTATGAATCTTTATATTTATCCTCGTTTTTACCTAATTGTAAATGTCTTGCACATTTAAAACTTTCACAATCAATAGATATTAACACTTTTCTTTTTGGCGTCGGAAGCTATCAAAACAATATTGTCGTTCGCGATTGTGGTTTTTTTTTTTGTGTTTTTACGCATCGTAAATTTTTAATTTTTTTTCGACCAGAGAATATCCCAAGGAAGTCGAAGGAAAATCATATGCGAATCGAAAATATGTCATTTACTATTACAAATTGGTAAGATTGTTTAATGTTAGCGCAATTATGGCACAGATAAAGAGAAGTACATATTTTTAAGAACCAAATTTGTATAGATTATGTATTTAGATCAAAAACTTTTATAAAGGAGAAGATTTGAGCAATGAAATAATTTATTTGACATGTAGATAATGAAAGTTTATATGCTATTGTAACCCGAGAGATTTTTTGTTTCAATCACAATGTTCACAATGTGTTCCTTTATTTGATCAAAATAAGAAATAATCAATGAGTTAAAATTTGTATGACAGTTTCAAAATAAAGTTGGTGGCACGAACATTTTTTAAAATGAAATAAATAAATATCTTTGCTGCTGTGATCATATGATACATTTCCCCATTAAATCTGCGTGGAATGTCATGTGACTAATAATCAATTGAGTGAGGCGTTTCGGAATTCAGCCTTTCCCACCGGGAATGTCAGATTTAGGATGTGTCATTCATTATTAATATAATTAATAAGCGATTGAAATTTTGGAAGTGTAACAACTACAATCAAGATAAAATATGGTTCTCGCAGAAACTTTATTTTAATGCGACGATGAGTTCTTCCAAACATATTGACCCAATGACAAAGGCGTGGTTAAGTACACAAAAATGCACATAATAGAATAGAATTTATATATTGTTTGTTAATGTTAGCTCGAGTTTTTTTAAATTCTCAAATAACGAAAAAAAATAACTTGCTTAAAATTTTAACCAGGTTTTGCCAATTTTATCAACATTTAAATATCATTATCGTGCGTGTTATCATTTAAGACTTTTCTGATAATCTCAATAAAACCATTTTAAAATGGATCATCAAAAGCCGAGGTTGAACGTGGCTAAATAGGCTAAACAATTGCTTTATAAAGGCGGATTTGAATACAATGATATTCACAAGACATTAAAATCTGATCTTTAAATATTCGCAATAAACTTTAATATAAAAGACGACAATAATCTTTTCTCACACACAATTGTGGAAAAAAATTTATTCTATATGACGAAAATGATGATTAATTACCAATACCGCTAGTTAGTTGATGATGATGATGAACCTATTCTTTTGATAAGCTAGTTTTCTAAAGGAACTAGTTTTACCCTGTAAACCACAAAGTATAATAACATCGTGTAACAAAAATAATAAATTGACAAAACTAGTTATTAATGTCAGCTGGATGGATTGTTTATTATTATCAAAAATGTTTCTAACCGATGAAAACAATCTCTCTGATGGTACTGAATTCTCTTTTAATAAAGCTTCGTAAAATCTATCATGGATAAATAATTCCCCAAATTCATGAATAACGGTAAAAAAAAAAAATCAAATCAAAATATTTCAATAAAGCAC